AATGAAATAGTGGATGATGTTTTTTGATAATAGCATATTTTTTTCTAATTTTTGCATAAAATTTTTTATTCTTTGTATCAAAATATATCTTTGTATATTATACAAATCATAAATATCTATTTAAAGCAATAGAATAAAAATATAAATGTTGAGACTTTGAGTTTTTAGTTTTTATTTCAAAACTTTTCTTTTTATATTTTTAATAATAATCAAGATACTTTGTACATGCAAAAGTATAAAATATACATGTGATGAATAATTTTTCCATTATTATCCATTTTATATTATACAAAATAATGTTTCAAAAAATTTTAAAAATATTAATTTAATTATGCTTTTTCTACTATATGTAATTTAATTGATTTTGAGATATTGTTTCAAATAATTTGATTTATAATATATGATATAAATATGATTTATAATAAAATATATAAACATTAAAAGTTATTTAAAAATGTATCAAGTTTGAAATTTGAAAATAATGTTTCTAGTTTTAATGAAATTTAATTATTTTTGTATTTAATTATTTTCAATTTTTGAGATTTAATAAAATTGAAAATGAGATATAATTAAATAAATACCATTTATCTAAAATCCTTTATTCTTTATACTATTTATCATTTTTATTTTATTTACTTTATATTTTCTCTTTCCTTGCTTCTAAACCCTCTCAAATTAAGCAACTTCTTTAGGGGCTAAAGGGGGGGCCCCAATAATTGACTTTACTTGATGTAATTTTTTTCTTTTTATTATCCACTGAAGCCTGCATAAATAGCTACGCGGGTGTGTTGCGCGGCCGTTCGCCAGACTCCATGTCAGGTACTAGTATATTCTCTATTCTGTCCCTTGCTTTTTTTCACTCTCATTTTCCATATACATTCTATTTAAGAATTCTTCTGTAATGTTTTTACTATAATATTTGTTACAAATATTTTATTCCAAATAGCTTTTTTTTTTAATGTATATATTTACACATAGTAATGATTTAAGATCATTTAACATATTCGTTTAAGAGTAAAATTTGTATTTTTTTTGCAAATGGAAACTGTGTTGAGATTCACTTCAGAATCATTTTCAATGCATTATCCACTAGTGAAAAATAATTCTGACGAATTTTATTCTTAAATGAATATGTACTTAAAAAAAAAGAGTGAAAATAACACTTTTTACATGGTTTGGGTACTAAATCTTGTAATATATATTTACTAAAAATCTAATGATTAATCAAATTTTAAACTACTTGTTACATTAAAATTGAAAAGCTTTTAATAAGCAATTATTTGAAAGCAATAATTAAAATTACTTTTGCACATAAATTTTATTTTTTTTAAAATTATCAGAAATGAAGATCTGCACATCCAAATTTCATATTTATTATAATTTCAGAAAGAATAAATTTTTTTAATTATTGAGATATTTTAAAACATAAATAAATACAAATAAGATATTTAAAAATATAAAATTAATAATTAATATAAAAATAATTTTAAAAAATTCTTATAATGTTTTAATAAATTAAATATATTAGTTAAATTTTATTAAATAATTTATATTTATAGTTTTGGTTGATGTATAATTAAATAATCTGTAATGATATAAAATAATTGCAAATAAAATAGTTTACTAATCAAATTTATATTTTAAATACAATATTATAAAACTATAATCGAGAAAATATTGAATATTAACAATCATTAACAAATATTTCAATTATGTTTTAATTATGTTATTAAATATTATATTATTTCAAAAGGATGATAGAAACAGTGATAAAAGAAATATTTTTCCAATTTTTTTAATTAAAATTTTTAAGTAAATATGTCATGTATTTCATTGAATTTCAATCATACATCTTTATCGTTACATCCGCTAAAATGATTATTAATTTAAATTATGACTGAAGTACATAAATGGATTTATAGAGTCAGAGAAGTATCACGAGATGATAGCAGCAACTGAGAGTCCACCAGGATTTTCGGGTTCCTTCCGTTTAAAAGATGATGCAGAATTTCCACCTGTTACACAAAGGACGGATTGAGTGTAATAATTCAGGCATATCAATAATGAATGAAAATAATTATATCTAACAGTGATTGAAATTAGGACACTGAGTACAGGTCAAACTATGAATCTATGATCATAGCTATAATTTGTTGCAAATTCAAAAAAAGCAACAAATTCTTTTTTAACGAAATAATTAAAAAAAAAAAAAAAAAAAAAAACAAGTGATGACTTTGTATGAGTTATATAAATATTAAAGCTATCATATAACTAGATGTTCACATCATATCAGAAGTTAATAACTTGAAAGAATTATTATGATATTTTTGGTTACAATTTTTCAAGTCAGTATTTTATATTAGAACTTTATTATCATCAATAGCATGCAATTGATTTTAGAAAGTTTAGTAATTTAATAATGGTTATGGTTATGGCAATGCTTAAAAAAATTATGAAAACTCAAGCTAAATATGCTTGATAACATATAGTAAGAATGTTTAATGTAAACTTATGTGAAACCATATGTCCACATTTAAGTATTTTTACTATGAATTATTAATACAATGATTATAGTAAAATATTATATACATTAGATATGATATAGAAAAAAATTTTTTTTCAGTATATAATATTCTTATTGTGAATATCTTGTATTTCTTTTTACTAGATTATTATATTTTATAATTATATATTGTCATCTTCTGTGTTCATTGATAATAAAACTTACTCTTTTAAGAAATAGTAAAGAAAATGAAAAAATTATGAAATTAATATTTTATAAACAGTATAATACTTACGTGTTTTAAAAAAATTTTCCACTGATATTTTCCAAAAATGAAATATTCTGAAATATTTGTGATAAAAAATATTTCATGTTTTGTTTATATATGAAATAGTTCATATAGTGTATAAACGTAAAAAATAGATTTATATAAATAGTTACAATATAAAATATAATGAATTTCATTATATTTGAATTTTTTATTAAATTCAAATTATTTTAAATATAAAATATATGATTGCGTATATATAAAACTACTTTTTAAAAAATAATATGGTTAAATGCCATTTGTTAAAAATACTAAAAAAAAAATTTCTTTTTAATTATTATACTTTATTCAATGTATAATAACATAATTGTTGGAGTGCGTTTTTAGTACTATTGTTTATTAAAAAATGGAACATATTTCATTATTATTCATGTTTCTTTGGGAATATTTAATTCAAAATATAATATTTACCAATTTCTTCATATATTGATTATATGATTTAAAATTTTCCTACATTAGCATCAATTAATTTAAAAATTTATTATATCCTTACATGTATTATGTATAATGATAGATTATGGCATTTCTGAAACTATATCATAAAATCTAAATTTCTTATATTCTGTTAATTTTATTTTTTCTTTATTATTATTTCTTATTTAAATATTCATTTTGCTTGCTCTCTTTATATTTATTATAAACTTAATATTTGTCTTTATTTTTTAATATTACAGAAAGGATAAAAGAAAAATTCAGAATATCATATTTACATAATATTTGTAATTAAATATCTTTATACGTTACAATTGATGTGTTGTCTGTAACCCTTATTATTTTATGTTGATATTGCATTAAAATAATATTTTTATATATCTTTTATTATGAAATGTTTTAATTAATAATATATACTTAAGGTAGAAACTGATTTTGTTATTTCATTGATTTTACATATCTTTATGTAATTTTGAATGTTTCATTATGATAAAATTTTGTCCTCAATGCTTTAATTTAAGGGTGCGGGCAACATATATTAATTAGAATAATAATATTATTTTTAAAAAATAGGTAATCTATGTAATTTTTGCGAATACTGCAAATGTTATAGACCCATAATGTCTTTCGGTGCTTTTGTATGAATGTAATGTCTTGTTTAGTAATTAATTTTACTTTTATAAAATAAGTAATATTAAAAATGTAAATACGCATATATATAATAAATTTTTAAGTACTGATATTGCATATAAAATTTTTTATGAATATATGTGTAATTATGATGATGCATCAAACAAAAAAATAATTTTTAATGATATAAAAACATTTAATCTTTCTAAATTTTGTGTTATGAAATAATTATGTTATTAAATATGATATTAAATTTTTATATAATAAAATATTATTCAATTATGATAATCTTTACTTATTTTATAATTTAATGCAATTCTAACTTTAATGTTTTTTTAAAAATGTGTCGTTATAATTCCATTGAAAGTATTAAATGAAATTGAGAAATTTTTCAACATTAGTATACTTTTAAGAAAATGAAAACAAACGATTAAATGAAATCAAATAAAAAAAAAAAAAATGAATTAATCTAAGTTGTGAATGCAAAGTATAACAACATATTATTTAAAAAATTATTTAGTTCCACTTGTTCTTTACATTTGTTTTCAATATCTATGTAAATATTTTAATAAATATTTAAAAAGAATGTATAGAAAAAAATGTAAGTTAATTATAGTTAAAAATATTTCATAATTATATTTCATAATTTGTATTAAAGTTTGCAAGAAAATAAATAATAAATAATTTTATCTAATACGAATAATTTGACAATCCATTATTATAAATGTAAAAATAAGCAACATATTTCCAAAATAATTAATAAAATTTATCCGAAAATTTAAATCGTTTGATTTAAGATTCCATTTTTTATATAATTATAGAAATACGATAAAAATGAATAATTTTAACACTTTATTCTAAAATGAAAGGTTTTAAGAGATTCTTTGGTAATTTGTAAATAAATTTACTACTACAAGCAGACTGCAAATTCACCAATACACATCACCATTTTCCAACAATTTCACTGACATTGCATAAACTCTCACATTAATCTGTAATCTCAGAGTATGAACAATGAAATGTAATTAAATACAGTGACAACATAGCAAAAGAGTCTATCTCTAAGTCAGTTGAAAAAATTTATAACACTGTTACAGAATCAGAATTACATTTTTATGTGAATAACTCAAATATAAAATTACATAGAAAAACTTATGAACAACAAAAAAATTCATATATAATTCTATGTAATGTATATACAAAATAACGTATCAGATTAGGGCAGTTATGCACATATAAATTAATAATCAACGAATTATATTTCATTTTATCTATACATATAAAATGAAATTAAATATTCATGTAGTCTTATTAATACAACTTTCACAATTATATATTTTTTCTTGTTTAATTTTAATATTAAAAAATGTCGTTTCATTATTACATTTTTGTATATTCAGTTTTGCTTAGTTAAAATTTACCCTAATTATATACGTAAAATTGCATATACTTACACAGAATATCAGTATTGAATTAGATTTATGTATTTTTGTATTATCAATTTCTTAGAATTATTTTTCTGTAAAATTTGTGTTTATAAACACAAAGTATTTTCTGCAGAATAGACAGGCCCTTTTGTCGTATGCTCACTGTAATGAGGTACACAGACATGAAGACTTAGCTGTAAAGATCATCATCTCCATCATCTTGAAAGGCTTGATCACCTTGTGTTGTGTCTTGAGTACCACTTGTTCCACTTTGCGGAAATCTATGAATTTTATTTAAATTTTGATTGTAAATATATACAAAAATAGTATATATTATGAAATTTTTAAGAAATATTTAAATAATTTAAATGTTTTACCTGAAATTGCTACCAAATCCACGAGATTGTTGAAGTGTCTGTGCGAACATTTCATATTTTCTAATATCATTATCAGATACAGAACGTCGTGCAAATCTCATTGCTTCTTCAAAATGAGCTCTAGTTATTCTGGTACAGGATCATCTTCATCCATCTTTAATATAATATGTAAAATAGAAAATATTAAATAAATTATATTTTATTAAAAATAAGATACAATATTAATTTAAAACTGACTTCATATAAATAATAAAATATCTTAAATGTAAAAGTTATTTTATTTTAATTCTTTCATAACTTATTATTTTTATATTTTTATATTTTAAATGTTAAATATGCATAAAATAATTATTAAAATTTATTAATTATAAAAATTGAAAATATATTTTTTTTGCATTTGATATATTTTCAAAAATTTTAATAATAAATAAATATTTATTTTTTAAATTAGCTATTTTGAATTATTTCTTATAATTTTATTATATTGTCAAAAAAAAAAAAAACTTTATTATTATGTTATTTTATATATGTATGTATGATTATTTTATATTTGTAATGTATAAAATATTATTATCCTGAATAGAAATTAAACATTTTGTAATTATTGAAAACATTTAATATAAAAGAGACTTATTTTTTTATGTTACATGGAAAATATATTTTACGTTTAAAATTGATTTTAATAATTATTAATCTTAACATTTTTTTTCAGTAAATACAATTTCAATATAACATTTATTTTAACAATAACAATAACAATAATCTAAATTCATATAAATAAAATATATCAAACATTACTTACATCCATAGATACAGAGGGATTACTAGCACGTTCTTTTTCTCTTCGAATTTCAGTTTCAATGCTTTGTCTAATAGCAAGTTTACATGCACGTTGACAAATTTCTGTTATATCAGCACCCGAGAAACCATGTGTTACTTTAGCTATATAGCTTAAATCTACATCCTATAATATTAAATATTAAAAATGTAATTAGGCGCTAGTTAAAACAAAATATAAAATCTTATTAAAAATATGAATTTAATTTCCTCTACCTTTGCTACAGGTGATTTTCGGAGGTTAGCTCTAAAAATCGCTTCTCGAGATTTTTCATCTGGTAATGGTATATAAATCAATTGATCTAATCTGCCAGGTCGTAGAATAGCGGGATCAATAATATCAGGACGATTAGTAGCTCCTATGATAAATACATTTTTTTTGGCTCCCATACCATCCATTTCTGTTAAAATTTGATTTATTACGCGATCTGCTGCTCCACCAGCATCTCCTAATGTGCCACCACGAGATTTAGCAATAGAATCAAGTTCATCAAAAAATAATACACAAGGAGCTGCAGCTCTTGCCTATAAATTTAATAATGATAAATGAAATAATTCTTTATTTTTTTTGAATTTAAAATACTTACTTTATCAAAAACATCTCTAACATTCGCCTCAGATTCACCAAACCACATAGTCAATAATTCTGGGCCTTTTACAGA